GACAAGGAAAAAATGTTGCCGATAGGTTGCTGAACGGCCAGGACGGGGGAAGATGGAGAGAACATGGAAGGTTTTGGGTGGAAAGCACATCCGAATGCAGTAGGGTTAGGGAGCACGTCGTCGTGCCCCGAGGCTTCATTGTTCTTGACAAACAAGAGTGCTTGCCCAATGGAAAGTTCGGACAACCCTTTGCATCGTCAAGGCACTCAATCGACGATGCCATGCCTACCATGTGGGTAAATGCTGAAGATCGTGAGGCAATAACTTGAGGGTGCCAAGAAAAAAAAAGAGGAAAGAGGGAGCGAGTCGGAAAAGGGAAGATAACCAGAATAGGAAGGCACCCGTGTGTGTAGTGTGTAGGTAGGTAGTGAGCCGCGTGGAGCATCGTCTGCTCCTGCCATTCAACAACTAGTACTGTACGAAGCACCTTCCGGCCGGTACATTCCAGATCAATCTTCGAACGGCAAGCCATGGCCTGTTCCTGAAACCAGTGAATCCGCTTTTATGGCGACTTACTCAGAAAACCGAAGGATGCCCGTGCGACAAGGAGCACGCCCTGGGAATAATACCTCTGGGGCTGGGATGGTGATGATGATGGGTTCGGTTGCCCTGGAGCCGGCGAGCTTCTAGGGGTTCGAGGGGCTTCCAAGGCTCCACCAGTGTCCACCCGATCTCGACTCCACACGGACAAGACAGCCGCAACGGGAGGGCGAGGGCGATGCAAAATTCTCAGATATTAGCTCGTTATCGAGCTCCGCAACCACCGATGTGGGTGTGGATAAGTCGATCTGGAAACCCTAGCCAAAGAGGGTTTCACGAGCAGCTTGCGGTCCAACTGCCTAAAAAACTACCACGGAGAAGGAGAGCCAAGGCAGGCAGCACAAACACTCCCGAGGTCGCGCGCTGCGTCTGTGAGTGCCTGCCTCCGCTATCACGCCACCAGATGCACTGTTTATTTGCTAGCGGGGTTTGACCTGAGCTGAGGTTTGGCGCCTCGACAAAGCCATGGTCTTGTTGGTCTCGTCTCGTTTCGTCTCGCCTTGTCCCTCCAAGGCCCTGTCGGAGAGGGCATCTCTGAAGGCCCTGTGAGCGCGAGTCCTGTCTTCAAGGTTGCTCCTTGGGGCAAAAAGATTGCCATGCTCCGTCTGAGAGCGAACTGAAATTCCCTCCCCCTCCTCCCGAACCGCGGTTCGCCTTCACATGGGTTCCTCGTCGGCTCCGCACCATGTAGTTGCAGTGCAGGGCGCAAGGGGAAGCCGTTACTCCCACGCTGGCAGCACCACGGATTAGGTGCCGTACTACCTGTGGACTAACGGGCTCTTGTGGCTAGCCTGCAGCGGCGACCCTACCTGAGTGGAATCGCTAGAAGCACAATGGAAGCCTCATGCTCTGAATCCCCACATCCGAGGAAAAGATTGCGCAGGGGTTTCCCAGATAACATCCATGCACGGCCTCCAGAGTCGTCGCCGTCCAGTCGGGATTGCATCTCCGTCTGAATCGATTGGCCCAAGCCGACCTGACCGGGATCCTTCCACCTGTCCTAGTTCATACGACGGACGGAGCAAAGTCCGCACCGCCTCCTTCACCGGTGAGGGGGCCGTCGCGGCCACACAAGACGCCCTGAGGGGACAGGGGCACGTGGCGCTTGACATGGCGCTGCTGCATTGCCAAGGAATGGCAGTCGCTTCAAGACGCCACATTTTGTCATGGCTGACTTCTGACTCGCCGGACGGTTTTCAGTTGACTCTCTCTCTTCCACAAACCTCGCTCACGTCTTCGGCACCTCTCAGCGATCCCTGCGCTGCGTGATTGATTGGCGGATTGCGAACGAGAACGGAGTCCGGGGTCGCGTATCCGCACTCCGTACAAAAATTTCCTGAAGCTGTGGCACCCGGCTGCCCGCGGAGGTTATTTTATATACTTTAGGTTGTAGTGTTTACTGTCATTGGAGAATAGGAAGCAGGACGACAAGAAATTAGAGCTCTGAAGCACGATGAAGCCTCGCACAGTTTGTTCATCGGAGACCGGACTTGAGACTCCGCCTTAACTCCGGTGGCTTGAAGCCCTCGCTTGGCACTGGGGTATCAGGACACCAGTAGACTGGGCTGCTACGAGTGCGGATGGAATCCGCGTATATTTATTAGGCCTGTAATCCAGGTTTATACGGTAAATACGACACTGTCGTACATGGTGAAACTGATGTAATGTACGAACAATACATCGTCCATACATACAGACAGTCCTGGAGCGCTACTGAGCGAAGTCCGCTCAGCGGGCAGACATGGGTGCCCCACCAAATGGCCTTGCCTGCTGAAAGCATCCCTCTTTCACTTACTTACATAGGTAGTTCTTGGTAAGTTGATTCGAGAGAACTCCAGCTACCTATAGCTTCGATGACTTGTCCGGGCCAAAACACAACATATTTTTACCAACGAGCCCGCGACCCGGTTCCGGGCAGTTGGGCAGAGCGGTCAGTGCATGTATGCAATGCAGGCTGGAAACTAGTGCATACATTCAGAGGCAAGAAAGGGTGTGCTGCGGCTGCCAGTGTGAGAGCAAGGAAGCCGTTGGCCAATGTCCGATATGGAAGCCGGGCCCCGTTAAGATGTTACACGTGGAGTTGCTTCGTGCCTCCGGTAGCTCGGAACACGAAAAAAACTTAGACAAATCCAACTTTATTCTCTTTCCCTACAGTGAAACATCATAGGGTTATGAGAGAAATGGACCTTTGGGTTACTTTTTTGCTGGCCACTATACTTCCCATGTGCATTTGTTCAAGACTGACTACACATGGACATGTCGTTTCAAGTTGAGAAGCTCCCTCGTTGGCTCAGCCTCCGTTATGTGCAGCCAGGTCCCCCGCCTTTTGTCTAAACTCGGGTACCCCATACGGACTAATGGGCCTGACGCCCTAAGGTAAGGTACAGCACGTACCGAAGATACCAAATACTGCCACAAGGGCATTAGAAGGTGGGAATATCTCGACTATCCATTGCTGGTACCGTAACCCAAGTAGTAGGGAATATTGAATATTAGTACTGCGTATGTGCAGTACAAGATTTTGTTCGGAAGACGGGAGGTGCAGCACGGGGTACCTTCATTGGAACCAAGCGACCGAATCGCAGCCTGTACCCGTCTCGCCGCCCGTTTTCTACTTCGCCAATCCGATGATGCGGGACCGTCCCGAAGCCGCCCCAAAACGGAGGAAGGACAAGTTGCAGCCTCGCCTCGCTTCCTCTAGCTCTAGCAAATGCAGCAACAAGTGCATTTGACTTGACCCGGGGTTGGCCAGCAGCGCATAGAACATACGGCATTCCGTGGTTCTGCCGCTTCACCAGGTTCAGGGTCACGGGAGCAGCGAGGTGTACTATGGGATGAACCTAGGACAACGCGAGGTTTACAGTCGAATACGGTCGAGTGGCTTGTCTGTTAGCGCGAAACCAAACTCCAGGGTACCTGGGCCGAAGGTGGAATGTTAACTGTGTTTAGGGGTGGGCTTCTCAGCCTTAAAAAAAACCAGTTGGGTAGGTAGGTAGGAAGAGAACGCGGATGAAGGGTGGTCAAGAAAGTGCAATTACTTGCGGAAGTCTGCTCATTGTGTTGCTGTGTCGAGTTGGAAAACATCGTGAAGTCTACCATGTACGGATACTGTAACAGGTACCTTCTGGGTGTCTTAGCGGTACGAAGTACTCGGTACACGCGATCAAAGCACGGGAGGTGCAAGTGTCCTAGCACTGTCATCAAAGCACATCCAAGCCCAACGCTTCGCAGCTGGAAGGGGCACGAGTGGCCACGAGCTCTTCGAAGATGCGCACTAGTGCACCATAGCTCGGGATGAATTACAGCAAGCAGCCCAACCCGTTGTTAGCGCTGAGGCAACTGTTGCGCCGATTGGATTTCACTGTTTTAGGCCAGCCAAAAAAGAATAGTACTCCGTAACGACAGGACTGAGCACGTCGTACAAAGGGACAGATCGCGGTGTGCAATTTCCTCTTTTGTGCCTGTAGATCTGGGAAAATCAGACTGCTTTGCGCCGAGATGCGCTATGTGCGCAAAGGCCTCGCCGTCCTATCTAGAACTAGATCTAAGGGAGGTACTTGATCCGCAGACCAATCTCTTCCATTTCATGTTGGTGTGTCGGTGGATGGAGTGAGGTATGGAGACGTTCCGCTGATGAGAGTCGAGACTGAGGTGACCTGGGAGTTTCCATGGGACAAGGGCAGACCCCGTTTCGAGCACAGCTCTGGGTCTTCGGCGATTCTCCGAGTTTGGGACGCTGCCCTGCCCTTCCAAGGCTTCTTCCATTCCACAATCCCTGCCCTTCCCTCCTGTTTCCACCCCCCCTCTCCTCTCTCGGCCCGGCTCGCTCTGCTTATTTGCACACCCGCCCTGCCACTTGGTGCCAGCCAGTCTGGTAACTGTACATACGTGGGCCTGCCATGGGGGAGGGACGGAGGGGACACCTCGGACTCGTCAATACCCACAACCGCATCCATCAAGCCCAGCTATACTACACACGCTAGCTATATTTCCCTACCCCCTAAGGCACCCTGCCCTGCGAGAGACTGCATGAAGCCCCAGCATCAAGCACAGGCATGGATGGGCCCCTACCGTTCCCACAAGGTGACGGCTTCGTCCAGTCGCTCGTGGGCTTCTTTTGCTTGGGACGATAGTCGGCCTTAAATACAACCTCATTCCCACCATCACTGAAGCTATCTGTTCTGCTCCCACCAAAGGATCCCGCACCATCCCGCAGCTTCGTCAACACTGCTCCGTATACTCGCACGTACATACTTCGTACATACATCCAGCTTCAACCAAGGCAGCCCCGGCTCTCTCGTCTAAACCTCTCGTCTCTACGTCTGCATCTGCCGCACCTGGACCTGCCGCACCTAGACCTGCATCTCCATCTGCATCTGCTACATCGTGCTTCTCCTGCACGACGTCTCCGCCAGGCTATCAACCTCGAACAACAAACAGCAACACTTCGGCTCTCCACCATGTGCGATTACACACAAAGAGAATACTCGTGCGGCCACTTCCGCTGGATCGCCTCCAAGTGGTGCAATGACTACCAGATCACCCACAAGAGGTGTCAACCCAACGTCACACATTTCGAATACAGGTATGAGAGCCCTCGCCAACTATCGGTCTTGCTCGGTTCTCTACAAGTACTAACTCTGGTCTCCTTTCAGGGCAGATGAACTTTGTGGTACGTGATGGGCGAACTCTCCGCATGGTGGTCTCTCCCTTTTGGGGGTTGAGTCTTGATTCACTTTCTAGGGAATACTGTGTCCCTTATATCCTTCCAGTCCGCTGGCCTCCCCGGAGAGAACCTAGTCTAACACATTTCACGCAGGCGAGTGCAAGCCGAAAACATACCCGCCGTGGGAGAACATGATCAAGCGCCCTAAGCACAGCAGCTATTCTTCCTACTAGAGGATCATGTACCGTCTCAAAGACGGAGGAAGGGAATTCGTCTGCTCTCGTCACGCCCGGCGACAACTCCCTCTCTCACGAACTTCTGGGTTTTCTTTTTTCGAGAGGGTCGGATCCGGACGAGGAGCTGCATTTTGGGAAAAGGAGGGAGCATAGCGAGCGACAAACTGCATCTTTTTTCTTTCCTTTTCTCTCGGACGAACCCAACATTATACCGCACGCGCATCACACACACCTGGCACGCCTTAATACAGACTTGAGGACCAAAGATGACACACGCACACGCACCCCACGATAGAAAGCCTGGATCGAGCACCGACGACGATGTTTCGGAATTCAGCATCCAGCGACGCAACCCATCCCCCGCAAGAGAAACGGCGACGGGCAAGACTGAGGAGAGCCGGCAACAGCAGAAACTCTTCTGATTCGGACCCTCCTATAGGAATGGGACGGACAAACGGACGGCCGGATGGCAGACGACAGACTCGCTCGACGGCAGCGACCACGATACAACCTCAGCCCCGGCACCAAATTTTTGGACTCGAAATTGTTCCCCTCACCAAGATATGATCGTCGTATTGTTTTTCTGCTGGCCAGACAAGAGCAGACCGGCAACTTGCGCAGCCAGACAAACCGACGCTGCGGGTGGGACTGGCTCCGCGCACAACAGCCCGGGCGCCCTCTCCCTCAGGGCAGCGTGATTTAGGGGACCGCTACAGGGGGAAGGCGCCACCTTGAACGCGAACGCCGTGGCGGGCCCTTCAACCTAGCAGCCCACAGGGCATAGTGCAGGGCAGGCTAGGTACGAACCCGGCCTTTGCAAGGTACAGACGCCATGTACTGTACCCCCCTAAGGTGGGGGGCGGGCAGCGCCTGATTGGGGCTGCCCGGGCAGGGAGGGAAATGCGCGATAGAGGCGCGCGCGCGCGGGGGAATTAGGAATTGGGGAGTTGTGCCACCTCCACTTTCTCACTTTCCTTGGGCTTGCTGCTGCTCCTGCCCTGCCCTGCTGGGTCCGGTCGCTGCTGCCCTAAGAGCGATAGCACGGACCAGGGGCAACCCCAGTGCATGCTCGCCAGCACCGCCCAAACAGGCAGTGTGCCGTAGGCGGGTCGCCCCCTTCGTCCCCAAAAACGCCCCCTCGTCGAGATCAACCCCTCTGTCTGGTGCACCAATCCCTCGGGCCACTCTGGATGCAACATCATCCATCTTCTGCCTCCCGCTGTCTGGTGTCAGGTTGTCGCGTCACATCGACTGTCTGTCTGTGTGCCTGTCCTACCGTCTTGCCTTTCTCTTGCACTCTTTCCCCCTCTAGGCTTTTGATTTTGTCTTTTTTATATTATATTAAACATTGGGATGGAACTATGGTGTTTTTGGTTTCCTCAATTGGGGCGCAAAACTTGGGGATACCTGAAATATATATTTCTTTGTAACATTTTTCTTTCAGGGGCCCAATTGGGGGAGGCTTTCTTACAATTTAACATGGACCAAAAGGAACTAAAACTAAAAGACTACCTAAATACCCTCTGACCATCGTCGCCGTCAATTACTTGGTGATTGCTTGACTTCTCTTCTCTACCAAAAAGGAGAGAGTTCATATTATGAAATTGGACCGTGTGTGGATCGTGCACTTTCAGCGCTCTGTTCAGGAACCTCGGTGAGAATTTAGGGCCTCCTTCCCTGTATGCTCCCGCATCATCGATCTCATTTAGGTATTCCGTATTAAGCATTGAGATCATCCCCATCGGCATTCTATTTCTCTCTTGAACACAGCACGTGGCAAGGACAATCAGCAAGCATAATTTGAGCAATGGAGCAATGCGAAGCTCGTGACTCCTCTCCTAGGATTTCTTTCTTTTTTTTCCTTATTCTAGGCATCAATCTGCAGACAGGGGCCCCCAGCATTGTGTTGGACTTGAGCAAGTCCATGGAGAAACCCTCTAGGGTGGGGGGGGGAGGAGGGGCCAACCCCCAAACGGAAAGTACCACTGTTTCCTTTTGCAACTATTTTTCCTTTCTTTTTCGACACTCTGGGCTAATTAACTCAAATACTCACCATAATCATCACGGGGCTCGAACCAGTTCTCCCCCTCCCCTGCCTCGCTAACTATATGAAAAAAAAGAAAAAAGAAAATAAAAAGGGGGTGTGCAGATATTACGGCCTTTTTCAATAGCGCTGCACACTCCATTTTTGAGGTAGCTACTCACCTTGTTGGTTGGATCAACAAAATAGGAGGGGGGGCATCGGACAATGGACTTTGTTCACCCGAATGCGATCATCAGCAGGGATATTGTCTCGGTTTCCTGAAGCGGCCACATGCAGAGCCCCCCCGCCGTTCTCGAAGCTCTGCGGAATTGTCCAACCCCTCCGGCGGAGCTTGTGGTCAAGGCCCGGCAACCAATCTCACGGAATCTCATGGGGCTGGCATGGCTTAACGCCCAAAAAAAAGTGACCAGCAGACAGAAACCGACTGGGGTTCGGTGCTCGCTGTCAAGAATACCACCGCGCGCCCCAATCAGGACATTTGCGCTGACTCGCGATCTCTTTTACTCTCCGTCCGCCGTGTCACGGTCACGGTCACGACCAGCAGCTCGCTCGAGCCTCGAGCACCCGGACACGGTGAACTCCGTCAAACGGCCAGGGCGGCCCAATTATTACCTTAGGGCGCTGCCGAAGTAGGCAGCCTAGCTGTAAGTCAGACGGTAGGGCCGCAGAGCCCCGGCATTCCTACCCTCATTCTATGTTTTGCAATAAAGCTCCTTGCCAAGGTAGCATCGTTCAGTCAATTGCTGCCGATAACGTTTGCTGGGAAACCTCACTCCTCCCCCCCCTCCTCCCCCTAATTCCCCCGGAACCCCCACGAACATTGAATTTCGCATCTCCACGAAACCCGAGAGTGACACAAGCGGGCAATTTAGGAGGTAATGGAAAACGAGATTGACTTGTCGTATTCTCTAGCCCCGACGCTTTCCGGGTTTAGAGTGCGTATTACCGGCGTCTGAGGCGGGACTTGGTCGCGTGTTTTTGCTATTCCTTTTTCTTATTTTGTCGACAGGATGGCTTTACTGTTGATTTCTTATCTTTCTTATCTTTCTTATCAATCTTATCAATCTGCAACGTCAAATATCTAGCACAAGATGTTGTTTCCGGAGTCAAAAGGGGCTTCTTCAGCCCTCAAGCACGTGCTAGCAATGACGGACGTATCGGATTTGCGGTTGGGTTGACAACACATTGGGACTCGTGGGGAAAATGGGGATCACGGTGAGGTCAAAATGCGGGGGGTGGGGTTGGGAAAGAAAGATGTACATTTAAGTACCTCCTCAGTGTCTCCCACGCCAGCCAGTGTGTAGCATGGAACCTAACCTCAAAGAAGGTAGGAGGGCCACATTGACGCCTGATCCCGATGCCATCAAAAGACCCGGAGGAAGAATCGACTGTCGGATGTTGCAACTCGCAGTGACGTCGGGGAGGTCTGGCAGGGTGTGGTGTGTGTGTGCGTGTGTGTGTATGTGTGTGTGTGTGTGTGTGTGTGTGTGTGTGTGTGTGTGTGTGTGGGCTGAAATGGGTGTCTCTTTGACGAAAGATATCAAATCAACACCAGCCAAGTCAGCGACTAGTGAGACTGAAACCTCCATCTCGCACCTTTGTGACACCGCTTTTATTGCCTCGCCATCGACGTCTAGGCTCGCCATCGGCAAGTTGCCATCTTGTCCTCCACAACGACGGCTTCGACATCGCCGCCACGACTCTCACTGTTACCCGGAGGGTTGGGCATGTTTGCTTCCGCTGTCCTCGTCTCGAAGGACCTTCTGCCGAGAGTAAGCCACTCGGAGGAAATTTGCGGAGCGCAGGAGAGGGATGCAGCGCCAGGTCATCATCACCCTATCCGACCATTGGCCTGGTTGAGTGTGCGTTGCTCATATGCCCGGTCAGGCACCAGGCAGCCGCTATTGGAAGTCGATATAATGCTGCACCGCTTGACGTTACTGTGCAGCGTGGCTCTTGAAAGCCGACGTCGTCCAGTCGAAGACGCCGGCAGCCCCAAGAAAAGACACTGGGAGAAACAAAACTAGTCATCAGTAGCAAGAAAATATGCCGTCTCTTGCCGGCAAGCGGCAGCGTAGCAATACCTACCTACCTTAGCCTCATACCGCTGTAGAACCAGTCAGTATTCTACGTCTCGATGTTGTTTGGCTACCCGGAGCCAAGCAGGATGCTGCCGACTAGTAATGGAGTCGGTGCAACGAGATAGCAAGAGCACGAAACAACAAAGTTTCCGGAGGATGCCGGCGTGTTGAGCAAGTGCCTAACAAAGTCCCATACCTTAGCATCTAGCCGCTACGCTGGAAGCACGACGGCGTGGGAGTTGTCGACCTCAGAACTGAGGCTAGTTAAGGGGAAAGTGTCAAGGGGATGGGTGACATCGCGAGCTAAAGGAGCGGCCCTAACGACCGGTCTTCTTCATGCGGGCGCGTGCCGGCCGGGAAAGCTGGGCAAGAATCGGTATGTTCAGTGATGAAGTTGACGGTGGACACCATGCGGTGCGGCAGTCCTGGGAGCCGCGACAGTATGGCGAAGCGAACCAGTTTCGAGGCGGAGCTGACGACGACGCAGCGTTTCACCCGTCTTCCAATACTCTCGCACTTGTTGGCCGTTTTTCTTGATGCCTTTGTCGAGACAAGACAGGACAGAACACAAGACCCCTATTTCGCAGGCCGCTGTTGCATCCCCCCGTTGTCGATATCCGTACATGTACATGTAGCGTTAATCCCAGCATATTTGTGCGTAAGCAAACGGTTTTACCTAGGCACTTGTCTAGCTGCAGAGCTACCGAGTCTACCGATGTTGGCCAGACCAGCTGCAAATTCTTAATTCTTAGCGTCGACGGCGGTTGTTCGTGAACGTGTGTGGGTGGAGGCGTTAGCGAGGACGACCCCCATCCGATCCCGTCATCCAAAAGTCGACCGTGCAGGCGGCACATTTTTCTTTACCTTGGTTG